CCCCAAAACCCCAAAACCCCAAAACCCCGTAGATAATAAATTAGAGATATAATGAGTAAAATACAAATTAAAGATAAATAAATTAGAATATTAAGGAGATAAATTAAAATAAATGTATAAAAAAAGAAAATTTATAAAGCTCAGAATCGAATAGTCACCGTAGAAAGAAATATTCAATACATTCTACAAGCGATCCTCTTCCCCAAATAAAAGTCTGTTGCTAGTTTAACATCATGAAAGAGAGAGTTAAAAGCTCATTGAACCTGAGAAAGTCATCAATCGGAACAGTTCACTTTAAGTGATGGAGAGCCAAAAACTATTGATATCAAACTCCGAACTTAAGACAAGTAAATAAGAAATAAAAAAGGAAAATAGAAAAAACTTCATAATAAGAAACACAATCAGTGAAATTCCTAAAGATCAATCCGGATTGACAAAGACAGATTCTAAAGTTAAGAACTCAAATTAAAATTAAAAATTAGAAAGCCCCTCAAGTATGTATGGATACCAAAATGTCCAAAGCACGAATGATGAGGAGAGCAAAGCGGTCATTAAATTAAAAAATGACTCAGTCCCAAATCGAGATTCAATTAACAAATATTTGATGTCAAGCAAAGATTAGACAACTATGAAAAACCTATCGAAAGATAGTCGTCTAGATTTGAACAATGAGAATATCGAACTTCGTGTTTAGGTAGTAGAATCAAATAAGGCGAAGTCGAGTATAAAATCAGATTCCTACAGAGAGCCTCCTCCTAAAAAATCTAATAATAGTTCTCATCATAGCTCAATATTAGGAGGGTTTGATTTAAGTGTAATAGGAGGTAAAATCTCTGATGCCTTCGGGTTCGGCAAAGAAAAAGTAGTAAATGTTATTGGAAGTAAGTGTTCTTCATTGAAAAACTTTTAGATACCTCCTAACACTTAAAGATCATAATAAGACATTAGCTCAGAAAACAATATCAATAAAACAGAAAATAGCTAAACTAAAAAGAGATAGCCATATATCAAACAGCCTTTTCTGGCTCAATAGCAATTAAACCAAATGATTCTGAACATGAAGATGAACGATTAGATTATCAATTAGGATTAATAGCAGAAGGAGAGATCTTTTATTTTGCAATCTATTAATAGATCGATCCCATATATTAACAAATCTGATCACTCTCGATAAGTTTTGATGGAAATGATAACTTTAAAAAGATTACTAGAGTAAGCTGATTCAAGCAAGTTATACGTAAACTAACTAAACACACTAATTAACCATTTCGACCATACTAAGGGTGATATACTCAATTCATTTTTCTAATAGCTCCAAAAGATATTTCTAGAGAACTCTAGAGTAACTACTTAATTGCTTGTAATTAGAGCTATCATGCAAAAAGATAATCGAGATAGCCCAGCAGTTAAGCCAACTTTTAATAGCTAAACTTCTGAGGAAAATAGTACAAACATTCATTAAAAAAATTTAGGCCTAAATCCAAACCTATTAAGAAAGAATGAGAGAGATCATTTCGACGAGGATGACTTATCTGATTCATGTATATCTATCAATAATAAATCTGGATCAACCAAGAAGCAAACGGAAAAATCAAATGAGGAGGATAATAAATCATCAAACTTAAAAGATATTATCTAGAAGTAAAACTAATTTGCTTACATCACTTTTTAAGAAAGAAAATAAGATAGTCAGCAAAGCAGTTCATCACAATAGAAATCAAATTCTGAGATAGTAACTAAGATTGATCAGTCTTTAAATAAAATAAAGATCAACAGCTTGATAGAGAAGCAAGAAGCGGATAAGCCTTATGAAGATATAAAATCTGATTAGCTGGACTAATCTGAGTAGATGAAGTCACTGAGAAATATAGTTAACAGGAACAAGGAACTTCAACAAAAAGTGAAAATAGTTTAAAAGCTTCCTATCCCTTTCATTAGGGAACAGCATTCCAATTCAGTTATAGATTTCTCTGTGGATATGAGTAAATTAGTATCTAGACCAACTTCTAGTCGCAAAAATTCAGCCTAAAAAGAATTGAACACTGAGTCCTCAATAGTAAAAAGACAAATTTAATCTATTTAAAAAAGCCCTGCTGATTCTTAGCAAGCTACTTAAGCAACATCTCCTTCAAAGATATCTATCAATTCTAGCTAAAAGAAATAAGCTTCAACAATTTAAAATCAACAATTTTCAATAAAATAACTAAATAGTGAAGTCTAGAAAAACGTTGATCAATAGATACTCAGAGCTGATTAGAAAATAGATTAAGAATTAGAAAAGCGCAAGAAACAATACGAGCAAAGACAATAGATGTACTTTTACGAATTATGTATGGAATTAAGAAATGATTAGCTCTTTTAAAATAATCCTTAGCTGCACTAGATCAATATACCTAACTTATATGAGGTACTTTTTTATAATTTTTATGACTTTCTATTTTTAGAAATGTAAAAAGATTAGAATAGTTAAAGAGCAATTTAGAGATTTTATTATAGGTGAATTCAAGAAGAGTATAGCTTAGTATCCTTAGACAAGTAATACCACAGTATCCACTCTTGACTCATCAAGATAATTATAATAGCAAGTAAAGCACTTTGATAAGAATATTTTCACTGCGAATGGGAGTAAGAAAAAATTTAATATTCATATTGCTGGAGGCAAGAATTTTCCTCTTTCTAAGGCTGAATTTGAAGTGATAAATGAGAGAACCGAATAGGAAGACAATTCAGAAGAAGATAAAGGGTCTAAGTAAAGCAGTATATCACCTAAACTATGAAGCTCAAAAAATATATTTGTAAATACTAAAAGAAGTCAGAATAATAGCAGTAGCAACAGAACTGCAAGCAATAGTAGCAGAAGTGCCGGAGGTGGAGTGACTTTACATAGTAATACACCCAATTTGAGTTAGAAACCTCCAATCTAGCCTGAGAGACGCTAGAAAAGTAAATAACAGAGTATTTCAAGCTTGAAAGACCTTGACACTCCAAAATTTAAGAATAATAGCACCTTATTAAGCTTAAACCAGAAAAGTGAAAGTATGGAATTTAAAGATGTGTACAATTGATTTATAAATTCATTCAAAACTATAAGCTATGTGAAACTAGTTAAATAATGCTCAATTATATTCATTTTTCCATTATATATTTAACAATATTTGTTAAAAAACTGTGATTAGGGGTTTTGGGGTTTTGGGGTTTTGGGGTTTTGGGG